ATTTGCCTAGCTTATGCAAGGCCTGTGTTTGAGCTGCATCACCAGAAAAACAAAACAAAACACTATTAGTTAAAATTAATGTTGTGTTCTTCAATAGGAAGTATATATAGTAAATGGTAAATAAACCACTACAGAATTTTCAAATTATCTTTCTCAATAATAGACTTAAAATTTCAGTTTTAATCAATATGTTCACTAGTAGCCACAGTAACTAAATGTCTAAATGAGACCCAAGATCAAAATGTTGGAAAGTTTACCCAGTCCTGGAGAATGCTGTTTTATTCCTCAAATTCATTAGTGTTATTAGTAGCAGAAAAGGATTTGTAGTAAAACTTTAAACTGTATGTGAAATGCATACTGGTTATGTATGCTGGCTAGCATTACAGCCTATTCTATTAAGAGTAGGTACTTCTGTCTAGGGTGTTTTTGGAGATGACCCATTGTCACTTTGTTTAGCCTCAAGTTGAAGGAAGTACTGAAGCATTAAAGGTAGAACTGTGTCTTTAGCAACAGGGTACTTCGAGTCGGCTTTTTGTTTCCTAATTACTTTTGTTGAGCGCTGAAGTGGATCAGCCTTAATGGGAGGCAACTGTTTTAACAGCTTTATCCTTAAGGAGGACTAAAGAACTTGTCCCTGGTGGGGTGAGGGGAAGTATACACAAGGGACAGAGCAGCTCCAGTCCCCTCCAGTCCCCTCCAGTCCCCTCCAGTCCCGCAGCGCCTCAGGATTGCATGCAGCGTGTGCTTCTCCATGCAACTATGTGTCCTTCCCGTGTCCTCCTTTCTTCTCTGGCCTTGGTTCATTGATCTTTTCCTGGATGGAAATCTCCAGAGCAGATTAAATGCCACAGTGCTAAGGACCAGCATGGTTAGCAGAACCTCAGCAGGGATCTTGAGGCATAGTTCCAAGACTTTCAGAGGGTTTCCTGACAGTTGAGTACAGTTTGGAACTTTCTGGGGCTGCAAATTTGTGAGTGGTGACACTAGATGTCCCAGATAATTCTAGAAATGTCACTCTCAGGATAAACTATCATGTTTTCTGTGTGAGATTCTTTGGTTGAGGTAAGGGCTTTATTCAATAACATGGTGGTTTTTGGAGGATCCTGAGCAAGTAAAACCTGGACCTGCTGTTGATTTGCTTGTGGCCCTCTAGGGACTTCTGGGGAAAACTGGAATACTGATGAGCCAGAGATTTTCAGTAAAAGATAGTGGGTAGCCGTTGTTTTCTACCAGATATTAAGAAATAAAACTCATTTAGAATGCTTATAGCAGAGAGCTCTGAAAATTAGCCCATGGTTTAGGGAAATAGGTCGGTGTTAGGATTTGTGTAGTATGTTCAGGGCCCTGGGTTCTGCTCTCGGCACTGTAGAAATAAACCAGTCTACACTAGGGATGTGTTCAAGGTTCATTTCTGTGGACTCCCTTTAACTAGACAGCTTTTGCATTAGAGTCAAATTTTCGAAGGCAGAATTGTAGGGTTAAGCTGTGTTTTGCTCAAGCTGGATAAATGACAGCTGTTTATTAATATGTGCAACTGACCAATTACTGCAGAATCCATTTTGTAAACCTTAATTGTTCTAACAAGAAACTGCCATTATCTATTGTATGTTAGAACAGGAGATTGCAGATTTCAAGGGACACGGGAAGGCAAATAGAACCACTCTTAATCTGGAATCTGGGGCTGCTGAAAATTCTTTGATTTCACACAGTGCATTAGTGTGACTGGCACAGGAGGCCGGCACTCATGAGGAGTGTGTGTGTGGAGGGAAGCCTGGCAAGGGTAAGCCTGAGTTGGGGACTCCCTAGGGACAGGCCGGCTGGTGCCATTGTCTAATATCTCTGTTTCTGTTACCTTAACTCTTCTGAGCTTGAGGTGAGAACACAAGCTCCGTTATCCTTGTTACCCAAGATCTAAGGTTCCTCAGCAGTAAACCTCATCAGCAAAATGCCACAAAGGACTGGTTTATCACATAATACAATATCCCCTTGCCCCTATGGTAGACACCAGTGCCTTGTATAACCTGGATCTGTGGGAGGTGACAAGGCCAAAGCGGGCAGAAGAGCTGCTTTTCCAGAATCGGGCACTATGCAGATTGTCCTACCTTGGACCACTCTGCAGCAGCGCTTGCCTTCTGGAGCTCCACCCCTAATCTCTTACAGCAGCCTTGGTTTTAGCTGCCCAATAGTGAGTGTACTCTACATTTGTCCTCCTCCTCATCCTTCTCTCTTAGAAATGGTCACACAGAGGCTAATTTAAGAATCCTGCTATCTCATTCTGTGGGACCCTCCTAGCTGACAGTGAAGGATTGGAAACCATGTAGAATGTTCTCTTTGGCCATCCTGAATTAGCCTCCTACTGGGAGAGACCAAAAATAGTTGTTTATCTTAAGCTGAATTTTTCTTAATATTATACTGCTGGAGATTTCCTGTATGATGCAACTAAATATTGTTTCCATGGGCAGATGCTGCAGGCCTTTGTCGAGCCGTTTTCTCGTACATTACTTTGCTAATAGTATTGCTTGCTTTGATTTCAGTTTGTTGCCTAATGCCTGAGTAAGCCTGTATGTGTGACTATGCACGCATGTCTTACATGAGAATGGGGGTAGTGTAGAAACTGTTTTGTACAGTAGAAGGGGTTCGTTTGTTGTCTTGAGTGCTTATTAAAGATTTCTATTTATGATCAAACCACTTTTCTCCATCATGATTAATGGTTAAAATGGTGGTGCTGTGTTAATTTGTAAACTGAAAATTGAGTCAACACACCTCTGGGAGCAGTCAGTAAAAGCAGCGTGAAAGAAGTAAATAAACTGAGTCTGTAGACTGTGTTCTGTTTTAAACCAGCTCAGAAAATTCCTTATATTTTATATTGAAGGAGATTTGAGAAGTATGTTTGTCAGATACAAACATCTTTGGAAATTACAGTTTTACTTTTCTCAGTGTAGCATTCAGTAGAGAAGCTTGTATCTTGTGCTCATTTCAGTCTGCTCTCAGCAAATGTGAGTATATTTTTATTGCCAGTTTTCATTTTTATTAGAGTTTCATTTAAAAAATAACATTCAAAGCAACTTTGTGAATGAGTACTTTTCTTCCATTACTTACGCAGTTAATTTTCACCATTTCACAACTCCAAGCATCATGTAATCCCTCACTTAAATTCCATCCAGGAGGCTTTCTTCATCTTGTTCTCTTTTTATACTCCCTAGTTAATATTTCACAGCAGCCATTTAAAGATGCCCTCACAAGTCGAGCAGCTTCTGTGGAGTCATCAGGGAAGTGCTGATGTGATCTTACTATTTAGATTTTAGTCATTTACCAGTTCTTGATGCATGGAAACACAGATAGTAGCTTTCATCAATGGTGCACGTTATCTGGGTTCCAAACTGATACAAATGTCACGTAAGGAACAGTGGGGCTGGGCCAGGGGTGTCTGTTCACTGTTGGTCTTTAGTGACTGGGTAATTAGTCTCCTATATGAAAGAGTGAAAGGGTCGGTCCATGGGGTTTGTCTGTTGTGCTCACCCGAGAGCCTGGTTTTCAGCAGTTTTGTAGAGGCTCATACATTCACACTCTGCACACACATCGGGACAATACTGAAACAGTATTGGGTGGGGACTTGGGTTTACAGTGACAGTTGCTTCTATGAAGAGTGACTGGGAACTGGGTTATGCACTTTCTTCAGATGGGACATTCTTGCCCATGTGTGCCTGTGACTCTAAAGGAAATCTCTCCTGTCTCATCTCTTTAGCAGGAGGAGCAATCTCAGAACTGCTATGAAGACGGTGAAACTGCGTTCTCCTCACGTTGTCGTCAGGTAGCCTTTGGACAGTGTGGCCAGTCATTTGAGATTGGCTTGAATTGAAAACAAAGGCCTTTCCTCCCGCCCAGGAGGTGGGAGGAGTGGATTTTATGTTTGAATGAAGAAATGAATTATGGAAGAAGAGCACAGGTCCCTGCCTTCCCTTTCAAGCATAAGTCCAAATAGGCTCTCAGGAATGAGGATGCGTGAAGACGTCAGATCTGACTCACTTCAACTTCACACTTGGTTGTGTTGCTGGTGGAAATGCCCATGTTTTGTTCAGCTAACTATTGAAGTCACATCCTTTGGACATGCCATTTCCCATCTGTTGCCTTCCATCCTCAGTGCATGTCCTTGAGTGACTCTATTCTTTTCTGAAATTTTGCTACCAGTATCCTAGGAAAACTGATGCATTTTTCTGTTGCTTTCATAACTTCACCTCCCAGATGCTTCCTGTATTTCTATATTGTGTATAAAGGTTGTACAGAGAAGCGAGTGCTTGAAAGATTTTAAATTGGCAGAAAAGGAAGGAAGCTAGGAGACCTTGTCGTTGTGTCTTACCACCTTTCGCTCAGGGGGCTGGGCTCTAGGGAATCCGGGGCTTCCCTTGCTTTGCATGTTTCCTAGTATCAGATCTGTCTGAATAATCATGGCTTTTGGATAGGATCAGTTTTCTCCATCTCCAGCTAAGAATCTACAGTGGTTTGTCTGTTACTTTACCTGTGTTGACTTCAGAGTTAGAACAAAGCAAGGTATTTTTCTCCACAAGCTTCTGTATCATGGGGGTGGGGCACCTGTGCGAGGACTGACGTGGAAACCCCCAAAATCAAAGCAGCAGCAGCTTGCTTCAAATCAAAGATGAGGTTCATTCGTTAAATCATTGCCTGTGGAGAACCTGTCCCCACCAGCCATCGTGTGTCTCTTCCTGGAGCCAGGCCCCCTGTGTTTTCACTCACTTCCTTTCTGTGAAAGGTTGCTTAGCTTTTTTACCCTTCTCTTTCTTGCCCTGGCTCTCTCTGCATTTGCTGTTCTTTTAATAAAAATAGCAAATTGGATGGATGTGTACAATAAGTGTTTGTAATTTTTCTGAAAATCCAAAGTCAGGAAGCCAAGTGTGGAAAGGGTTAGTTAGTAAGCTTTTGGCTTGCCATGGGTCATACTTTCTCAGCATTGAAAGGGGTTAAATACTATGCTAATTGTGAAATCTCTATCAGTTGGTGAAGGCTCCTTCAGATAGCCAAACCCGTTGATTACTTTATATTGTGGGGTAGAAGTGACAGTGGACACTGCAGGAAGTCCCCAGAGTCATTGCCGGTGCTGCTTCCTCGAGTGTGAGTGAGACCAATGGTTGTGATTGGTAAGTGGCTCACAGGACACGTTTTTATCTGTGGATATTCTCTTCATATCGTGTCTCTCTGTACAGCACCCCGCAGTAGTGTGCAAACCAATACAGGGATTTCTGCCTTCCCTGTGTGAAGGGGCTTGATTTCCTCCATCTGGATGCTTAGTGCTGCGTCTGTTTCCATTACCTGGCTACTGAGACAATCAGCTCAGGCCCTGCCAGATTGTCTCTGACAGCAGCTCCTAATCATTATTTATGCTTTTGGAATTTTTTGTCATTTCAAAAACCTTCCGTCTACTTCGAGCTAGGATTTTTGATTTGTGTAATATATGTATATTCTCTTTTCCTCTTTGTTGTTTCCCCTGCCTCTCCATTTTGTTTCTTAAAATATTCTGTAGTTTTGTACAAGATGAGACTTAGCCTTGGGTACTTCTTGCTAAATCTTTAATGCTTTGTAAATAAAATGAGATGATTATTAAACCACAAGTACAGATGTTTGTAAGCTGCCTGCCTCTGGAGCTCAGCAGCCACTTTGTTTTGTGGCTTATAGAATTTAAGTGTGGAGTTTAGATCTTTCTCTGGTCATTTGGGTCTGGGAAGGTCAGACAGTTTGGATTTCTTCCTTTGTACAAACTAGAAATAAATGATTTGAGCTAAAAGCTGGTGTTAATTAATAAAAGGTCATCTAGAATTTCTTTTCATATTTTTTAACTCAGTACAAGCTTTGAAGAGGCCAGTGCTAGGCATTCTGAGAGGTTACAGTAACATGTCCTGGAGGGTCTAGCCTTCCAAGGTCTTTGTTAGCCTAAATATAGTTACACTCTTTCTTGATAGTCATTTTCTCTGATTAAGTAACTTTAACATCCATATTGAATATTCACTGTCTCATAAGAATAAGATGTCTCAGAACTCTAGTTCCCTTGGGTCTTAAACTTCTTAAGGTTGCAACCCTTTAATACAGTTCATCTGTTTGTGGTGACCCCTCTCCACCTTTAAATTGTTTTTGTTGCTACTTTATAACTGTAATTTTGCTACTGTTATGAATCGTGATATACTCAGTATATCTGGTAAGTGACCCCTGCAAAAGGGTCGTTCAGTACCCGAAGGAGTTGTGACCCACAGGTTGAGAACCACTGCTCTGTTGGTACTGTTTTAACTAATACCAAATCAGTCTACTTACTAACCATCCTGTCTTGTCTCTAAGAACCCATCTCTATCATCATAGTTGTTTCATAGCAACCTTCAGTGATGTAAACAAACAGTGAGCTCCTCTGTTCTGCAAGGTAAATAGAGCATTCTAGAGTCAAGCAGCTTCAGCATCCTGGTTCCCTTGGGAAAGAGAGTACTTGGAACAAGACAACTGCCTCTGGGCTGCCTCCGCCACAGTCTCACTTGCTCCTTTGGAAGGGTGTGGTAGGTTAAATTTTCACACACACACCCTTTAGTATCTCTAAAACTCCTCTGTAGCTGAAAATGCCTGGAACTTCCGATCTTGTTGGGTGCTGGGATAAGGAATTTGCTGCCACATCCAGTTTGTGTGGTGCTGGGAATCAAACCTAGAGCTTCCTACACGCTGGGCAGTCACTCTGCCAGCACTCTGTTGAGCTTCTTTTCTGTTGAGAACAGTGGTCTCCTCCTGTAGCCCAGGCTGGCCTTGAATTTGCCAGCAACCCTGCCCCTGGCCTCCAGGTGTCATCACACCTTGCTTCCCAGTCCTTTTGGAGGTGGGTGGTCCTTGGACTTCCCACAGGGCAGGGAACCCTGATTGCCCTTTGGGCTGACGAGGGAGGGGGACTTGACTGGGGAAGGGGGAGGGAAAGGGGAGGCGGCAGTGGGGAAGAGACAGAAATCTTTAATAAATAAATAAATTAATTAATTAAAAAAAAGTTTTTACAAATGAAGGTAGTTGACACTGGGGGGAGGGGGGAAGTGTTTTTAGTGCACTGTTCAAAGCGACCGTCCTGAAACTGGACAGGGCGATCTTAGCTTACAAAGAAAGAAAAATGGAAATTTGGGGAGTCAAGTCCAGAGTTATCTTTTCAGCAGCTGTGGTTTAGGGACATTCACAATAGAGAGTTCAAGGTATTCAGATGAACATTGCAACCCAGCCCCACCTCACCCCTCCCTTAAGACTGGTTTTTGTGTTTGGTCAGATTTCGTGTGGGACTTTGAAACTCTCCCACAGTTTGGGAGGGAGGGAAAGAGTTGACTCGTGCATTTGGGGTAATGTGGAGGTAGACTTGGGGCTTCTGAGGTCTTTTCCCTCTTTTGTTCTCAAGCCTGTGGGTGTAAATTCATTAGGAGGAAGTGACGAGGATGGCACCTGTGAGGATGGCCCTGGCAAGCGTAGTCAGACATCAGTAGTGTAAGTCTTTCCCTCCGCCTGTGCTCCCCTGGGAAGAGGGCTGCACTTCTGTGCACACGCACGCATGTGTCTGTTTTGCTGACAGCAATGCATCCTAATCTCTCAACACCAAGGGTATTCCAAGCTGGAGGATCTGTGTTACGGTGCAGTGTTTGTTTGGAATGCCTGCTGGTAACTTGCCTACTGAGACATGAAGACTGAGGCCCCTCGTCTTATCCTTGGGAGTCTGGTATTGATAACCCACCTGCCTTTGATATTGACATCACCTAAAACACTCGCCATCCCTGAGAAGCTACAGCAAGCTGTGGGGAGAGTCATTGTCAATGCCACGGCCTGCACTGTTACCTGTGGCCTTGGCTACAAGGAGGAGACTGTCTGCGAGGTGGGTCCTGATGGAGTGAGGAGGAAGTGCCAGTCCCAGCGTTTGGAGTGTCTGGCCAACTGGATCTGTGGGATGCTCCATTTCACCATTGCCCATGGGGAGGAGTTTGAGCTGAGCTGTCTCAGCCCAGACATCCTGGAGGTGGGACAGGAAGCTTTCCGCTTTACCTGGAAGCTTGCTCGGGGCATCATCTCTACTAATGATGAGGTTTTCAAACCCTTCCGAGCCAACTCTCACTTTCTGCGATTTCACCCCGCCTATGAGTACGACTCGGGGACATACCGATGTGATGTGCAGCTGCTCAGAAACTTGAGATTTGTCAAGAGGCTCTACTTTGGGCTGAGGGTCCTCCCTCCAAAGCTGGTAAACCTGAATTTCCATCAGTCCCTTACTGAGGACCAGAAGTTAGTCGATGCAGGCTGGGAAGTTAATCTGGACAACCATTCTAAGCCCCACCTCCCAAAGTGGCAAAAGAAGGTGGCTTCAGCCTTGGGCATAGGGATTGCTTGTGGCGTGGTTGGCGGCGTGCTAGTGAGCATTGCTGTCCATGGCTTGCTGAAGAGGTTTGATGACCACAACAGCCTTAGCAGCCTGTAACCTTTCAGCCAGCCTATACGTGAGAGTGGCAAGAGAGGCCTCTCAGAGCCATAGGGGTTGGCTAGGAAGCTTGGAGGATGCGGCTTCTTCCCCATACCACTGTGCAGGGCAGCAGGTTTTCTCATACTGGCTGCTCAGGAGACCCACTGCAGGTTTGCTTCTGTTCCTAGGGGAGTTGTGTCTTCCAAGCTTGCTTTCCCCTCCACACCTCACGGTGTGTGTGCCACCACCTCCACTCCACTTCTGAACAGTGTGTACGAACCAGAATGTACTATTAGCAGATTGGGTGGAAACTTTTTATTTTTGTTCAATAAAAACAATTCACAGTAACTGTATGGCAACTTAACCCTTTCTTATTTTATTTAAGGTTTCCCACATGTAGAAACTGTCCCACAGTTGGCCTGGTTCTCATTTCCTTGGGTTTCCTACAGCATGCTTGGGACAGATTGCTTTGTATTGGCTGCCTGTGTGTTATAAAGGTGAGCAGTGACACCTGACCCAGCTGATAGACATCTTAGTGTTAATAGGTTCTCCGCCCTCCCTGTCCTCTCTAGATGGCCCTCTGAACTCAGTATCAAATTGAATGTCCTGATCATTGCAACAATCCTTTGTCTTGCTCCTCCTCTTTGCACTATCTATACCTAGGGTTTGTGTTCTTGGAAAGGCCAAGTGTACTGGTTTCTTACAGCCACCAAGATCCTCAGGGGAGGACCATTGCTTCGTTTTCCCCTTAGGAAATCCAGTCTTAAGGCTCTTGAGGATCATTTAGACGGAGTCTGAGATAATTGGCCTATGGAACCCTTGGGGGCCAGCTGAGGGCAAGATAGCATTTCTCCTCCCCTTTGTCTACCTGCAGGAGTGGCAGAGTCCTAAGGCCCTGCTCAGTAACATGAGAGCCATCGTTGGGATTTCTGTCCTGCCCAGTTCCCCAGCCATTTAGTCCCAGAGAAAATCACACAGAGAGTCTACATTAGATATAAACTGATTGGCCCATTAGCTCAGTCTGGTATACGTTATAAGAGCTAATACGTAGTGGGGCAGGTCACATCTTGCTTCTTCCATGGTCTGGGCAGGACTGGGAAAGAGCTTCCTTTTTCCCAGAATACTCCTGTTTTCATTGTCCCACCTCTACTTCCTGTCTGGTTTTCCCGCCTATACTTCCTGCCTGGCTAATGGCCAATCAGCGTTTATTTAAAACATGATTGACAGAATACAGACAATTCTCCCTCACCATTGCTCTCTTTGGTAGCTGTGCCAGAGTCACCTGGATGGCTCTGAACACTAAACATTCCTCAGCCCCGGCCCTGGGATGCTAATTCAGTTCAAGTTCGGAGCAAAGGATGACTAATGTTTACTTTTAACTTTAGCAGGGTCTAGTGACTACCTATATTAGTTATATTTCTGTTGCTGTGCTAAAACACCACAAAACGGGCAACTTAGAGAAAAGGTTTATTTGGGGTTTACAGTCCAAGGGGGACAGAGTCCTGATGGCAGAAGTAACTGCACAGGGGGTTAAAGCAGCAGCTGAGAGCTCATGTCTCAAGCCTCAAGCAGCAGGCAGAGAGAGACCTCAAAGCCCACCCCCAGTGACATACTTCCTCCATCAAGGTCACACTTAACCTTTCCAAACAGCCACTGAGTACGAGATGTCCGAGACTTAAGGAGGACGGCTCATTCAAACCTGCACACCACCATAGACTGCCCAGGTTCATCAGTTCTTAACCTTTTCTCATAAGAGTCCAAAATATTGATATTGTAGAATCATTTGAAAACTAGACACACAGATGACTATTTCTTGCCTCTGTGTGTGTGTGTGAGCGCACGCGTGGTGTAGAGGCCAAAGGTCAACCTTGGTTGTTCTTCAGATGGCATCCACTGTGAGTTTTTGTTTCTTTGGTTTATTTTTTTTGAGACAAGCCTTTTGCTGAGACATGGGGCTCACAGATGAGGCGAGGCTGGCTGGCTGCTGGGCCATAGGGATCCACCTGTCTCTGCTTCCCCAGTGCCGGGATTATCAGTGTGCGTCCCCATACCTCCCCAGTGCCGAGATTACCAGTGTGCATCCCCGCCCCGTGCCTCCCCAGTGCCCGGATTCCCAGTGTGCGTCCCCGTGCCTCCCCAGTGCCAGGATTCCCAGTGTGCGTCCTGGTGCCTCCCATGTCGGGATTCCCAGTGTGCGTCCCCGTGCCTCCCCAGTGCCGGGATTCCCAGTGTGCGTCCCCATACCCAGATTTTCATGTCCTCAAGGCCTTGTGCATGTGCAGCAGTTGCTTTGCCAACTGAGCAGTTGCTGGTCCTCCATCCGGCTTCTGTCCAGTTTTCATTTTCAAAACCTTTAAGCATTTTAGTGTAATTGTAATCCTACCAGAGATGCATGTGCTGCATTTGGTGTTTGTCTCTGCAATCTTCTAGCGAGTCCCTCCTGTTCCTTAAGATTGGTGCACTGGAGTGCCAGGCTTGTCCAGTAGTCTGCATGCTGCCCCACAGCCTGGACTTGCCCCATGTCCTTGCGATTAGCTTCATGGGCAGTGACTCCGACATTCTGAGAAGAGCCCTACACAGGTACATACTGTGTCACACCAGGAGGCTGAGATGTTACACCTGTCTGTCACCCCAGAAAGGATGGGTTTCAGAAGACCAGGTTCTGACCCTGCTCTGTTGTCAGCCATATGACAAAAGCAGTCTCAGCTTTGACACAGGTGTTTGTGGGGGCCCAGGGAGCTCCCCCGAGGGAAGCTGTTTTGTAAAATCAAGTCCTGGGTCTGGGGAATGTCATTTAGTCCTAGGCAGTTTGTGGAAACATTCAAGGATAGCTCACTCTAAAGAGGACCTTGAAGGATTCCGTTCCAGTAAACTCGGTAACACACAGCTCAAGGGTCCTGCTTCACACTGTGTAGATGGTAACCCCTTAGGACCCGATATTAACACGTTCCCTGCATTCTGTTGCAGGCCAGTCGTCAGACATGAGGTGGCTAGGATGGCTTGGTTCATAGCCTTTTCTGCATGCCTTGGGCTCTTGAATTTTGACTCAGAATTTGAAGCAGTTGAGCAGAGAAGAGAACAAAAGACTTTCAGGTGGGTTTTGTAAAGATGATAACTTAGTTCTAACTGGACATGGTTACATTCCTGTGATCCTAGCTATTCAGGGGACCGGGGCAGAATTACAAGTTCAAGGCTAGTCTAGGCTACACAGGATGCTCGTGGCCAGCCTGAGCAACTTAGCACGATCCTACTTGCATCTGCACATGCTTTCTGCAGCAAGCCCCCTGCCGATTCAGTTCCCTAGGTTCTGTGTGTCTCACTGCCCTGGGAAGGTGACGGAGAGGCTGACAAAAGGCAGGAGGTCTGTGGAGCACCTGGCATGCCGGAAAGGCCCTGGTCAGAAAGCTAAGCATCGACTGGAGGGATCTTCATCCATCTTCCTTTCCTGCCTCAAAACAATTGGGACCCAGCATGGCGTCCTACTCCCTTGACACCAGTGACGTTTGAACGAGGACTGCTTGAGTGTTCCTGCAGGAGCTCGCCTGTAATGCCATCTGCTGTGTCAAGCCTAGGAGTTTCCCCTCTTGGAGCCACCCTGATTGATCGGAAGCAACAGTCACCTCCTTTCCAGTCGGACTTCCCTCTAGGACAAGAGAGTCAACACGTCAAATGTACTGTCAGGGGACCCGAAAGTGTCTCTGTCCCCCAAGTATGTTAGGTGAGACCTGCTCAGGTGCCTGACCGCCAGCCACCTGGCCTGTCTTCCTCCAGGTTAGAGGAAGCAGTCTGCACTGTGTACAGCGTCCTCAGAGTTGGCCACGTGAAAGGTGGATGCACGAGTTGCAGAACAGGCCCGGACGCTCTAGTGAAGTGATGAAGACCGCAGCCACTGCCAGCTGCCCGGGCAGGTTGAGAAAACACCTTTATTTAAGAACTGCTTGCTACCAGAGTCAATAAATAACTATTACAAGAGTGAACAGTGGGCTGGGGTGGAGGGGTCGCATCTGAACAGGAACTATCATCCGTGGGCCAGCGAAGCCCCGAGATCAGAGCTGTCCAGGCTCTGAAGTGGGGGCTGACTTGGAGGCATCTGGTGCCAAGGCAGGTGGAGTCTCCTCTAAAGAAACTGTAGGCCGTAGGCTGCCGGGGCTTCCTGGACCTGGACAAAGCTGGCTGGCCTATTTTGTTCCTCTACAGTTTTCCTTTAAAGCCCTGCTTTCCCAGAGGCTGTGATCATATATACAGGTTCAAGAGGTACAACCCCATTCCCAGCTCCCAGCACTGTTTCCAGTGAGCTTCTTGACATCCTTTAGGGTCCCACTTAATCCTACCCAGAGACCCCTCGCCAGGTTTGGTCTCGGCTAGTGAGACAGGACACCACACTTGAACTAGTAACAGGTATGATTACACCGCTGTCCCTTGGCATGCAGGAGTCCTATTGGCTATTCGACACTAGGAAAAGATTGGTGCCCCTGGGAAAGGCATGAGGGGAGGAAAACCTCATCAGCCACATTGAGCTCTTGGCCAGAGCACAGGCAAGGATGGCTTTGGGGACTGGAGAGGCAATGCCCATGGGGGAAGGCACTAGTGGGTAAGGACTGCTCTGTGGTGGATGAGTCCCTTTGATGGCTTTGTTAAGCTGTGGGGACCATAGCAGATGGCACCGCTAAGGCTTTCCTGTGTTAGGCATTTTGATTCTTAAGATCTCAGCTCTAGAAGGACTCAGCACCTCCCACCCCTTCAGTCAGGACTTCACCCATCCAAGATCCTGCAAGAGCACTCAGAATTCCTCAGAGCTTACTCAAAAGAAGCCCCTTCCTCGTTCCTTCAGGCGTTTCAGCCCTTGGCTTTGTCCTCTCCTGTCCTTTGTCAAGCCCTGTAGCCTCGCTGCTCCCCTGCTGTTGGGAGTCACCTGCCACCGGGGATGGCAGAACCACTCTCTTCATCCACACCATCAGACACCATCACACGGCAAGGAGCAGAGAGCTCAGTGGTGGCCTGAGTCCCCGTACGGACAGAACAGAGAGCACTTCCCTGTCCCTCAAGAGACATCTGCAGAGTACTTATTTGTGGCTGTCCCTTTTTACCTCTTGTGGTTTAATGTGCATGGATGGAACCTAACAGTCATGACCACAGCAGGAGCAAGCCCAGCAGCCTCCCAAGCCTGGCCAGGAAGTCTCTGAGAAGCCATTTCATCTAGCCAGTCAGGGTCCAAGTTTCCTCAACAGGAGTCTTTCTATTTACAAGTGAGTCACCTCTGGTCTTGTGACGCCGTCACTAACACTCCACTTGGAGCCCCAGACTACCCCAGACGGCTGGCACCGCTCCGCATCCCCCCAAACAAATTCTGCCTGCCCAGGGCTAAGTCTTCTCAGGTCTCCCAGCAGCCTGCCTGCTTTTCATGGACCTTGTCAGAAGAAAAGGGGCAGCCTCCTCCCACCTCCCGAGCTAGGTCCAGCGCCAAACCAGCTCGCTCTAGATACCCACTTCTCTACAATCCTAAGTGCCCATCCACTGGCTATCTTCTCTAGCATCCCTCCTGCAGCCCAAGGCAGTGGGAAATAGATAAACCTTGGAGGGTTTCTTTCCGTTCCCCTTTCCAGGGCTAGGCCCGAGCCAAATCTTAGCCAGCACAGGGTAGAGAAGGATGCTACACTAACTTTGGGGTCCTGATGAGGGAGAATGATCACATGGCTGAGCCCCTAGCATCCTTGTAGGTGCCGGGAGCAGGAGAGGGGAATTTGATCAGTTCCAGGAAAGCAGTCCCTAGCTAGGGGTTGGATTGGGGACAGTAGGAGAGGAGGTGTGTGAGTGTACGTCTTTAAAAAATTGTGGTGGGTAAATCCTAACATAAACCTGCCCAGGAAAACAGAGCAAGGCTTCAAGTTTAAAAACCCATAACAAAATAGAGCTCTAACTGTAAACTACAGAAATGGGCCATGGAGCAACAGGGCAGCTGCCTCTTGAGACGCCTGCCCTGCAGTTCCTATGGGCCTAGGTGTGGACACCTGGGTTTCCTGGCCAGGCTGCCGCAGGGTCCTGGTCTCGGGAACTCTGTCCTTGCTTTGGCCTCTCTCCTTGGAGGGCCTGAGAAGCTTCCGGCCAGCACCACTTCCTGAGTTCCCAGCAGAAGTCTGCCTCATCCACGCTGATCTTCTCACAGCCGGGACCTCTCGAAGCAGAGGGCTCATCCTCCGGAGGCCTCGGCCACCTTAGTGATGAGGATGTGGCTGCTCAGCCCCACACCTCCTTCCTCCACTGTGCCTCCCACAGGTAGGCAGGAGACTCTGGTGCTTGACCAAGTCTTGTCACTTACGGGTCATGGGACCGTAGGAAGTCCCTAAGCCCCTCTGAACCTCCATTTCCTCATCTGTTAAGGACCGAGTGTGGGCCAGCCGAGCTATAAGGCCTCCTCAATTCTGGTAGTCTGGTCTGTACTGGTAATGTACCCCGAACTCAAGGTAGGCTGCCCCCTTTATTAACCCCCTTTTCTTCTGGGGACTTGAGAGAGTAATCTAGGCAGCTTAGGGAGCATTTGTGGCCAGGTGGTGGAGGGTACTCCCGGAAGCAGGCATGGCCACATTAGTGCTGGCCCATTTCAGAGGCCTTTCCATCCCAGGACGGAGGGAGGATGGATGCTGTGTTGAGGGTTGGTTTCCAGGGCCTGCAGTTCTGGGAGGTGGAGGCAGGCATACATCTGTGGCAGAGCTGAAGGGAAGAGTGGCATTCAGCTGGGCACCTGCCCATACCCTGGAGGGGCCAGGAAGGAGGCATCTCGATGGGGCAAGGCAACACCTCAAGACAAGCCCTTGAGTCCCCTAGCCACCTAGAGTGGCTCTGTCACTCCGTCATCCAGTCTGGAGGGTGACAGGGTTGGGTTGGCAGTGCTGGCTGAGAGGGCAGTGCCACCTGCATGATGAATAGACCTTGGCCCCAGGCTGGTACCCTTTCCATCAGGGGCTGTAGCCTCTCAACCCTTTGGAGCTCCTCTCCCCAGTAACCTGGGGTCTGGTTGTTGGCTACCAAACAGGAAGGACTGCCTGGGAGCCTTGGAAGACCAGGCCGGGACCAGCTGCGCTGCTTCTCCAGCGAGGACTAGAAGACAGGTCCCTCTGCTTCAGAGAGGGAAACGTATAGACCATGTTTTCAGCCTGCTGCTGTCCATGTTCCTGCTGGGCCTGGAACCTTTGTCTCAGATGGCAGTGCCCACGTGTGACCCCAGAGGGCCACCCGCTTGATCTGAAGATGAATATCAAATGCCTTCTGTCCAAAGGCCTGTTCATTCTGTCCAGGACCCCAAGGGGTCCAGGCATTGGGCCCAGTGTTAATCGTGAAAGTCACTGCCCAGTGCCTCCTGATTCAAAGAAAAATTCCTTGCATGGTTTCTATCCTGCGGCAGAATAGAGATACCCTACCTCCTACATAAAGGGTACTGTTGGGTCTAAGCCAACCACTCTCAGGCACAGTGTTAGACCACCTTGGCACTGGAGGGGGAGCTGTGTCCGTTAGGGCGGGTGTCCAGCTTGGGTGTGGCAGGCAGTGATCAGATCAGAGCTTCTGGCAGCCAGTGAGCATCAGTATCACCACACCGGAGAGCAGGGGGCCAGGGCGGGTGGGGCGGACTGCAGAATTCTCCACCATCATGCTTGTGCCTGAAACCAGCAGAGAAAACTGTGGGGTGGAGCCCCCTGCCCCCAACCCCACCCTCGCAGTAGGACCGGGAGCTCTCTTGAGGAGCACACAGAGGTGAAGATCTGAACACCAGCGGTGTTCTTGGCTTTACCCATACATACAGCACTGGCCGGGGCCTTTGCTCTTGGTCCCCAGCCCCCTTGTATTCCCATAAAAGAGGTACACTGCCTTCTGTGCCTTGGGGTGGTTCTGGGGTGGGGACGGGACAGCGACATGGGCACTACTCATTCTTGCCTGCCTTTTCCTTTCTCTTTGGGAGTGTACAGTAGAGTCGGCTCCTGGAGACAATCGTTTCACCAGTATCTGGGGGACCAGGACTGCTGAGGGGTAGAGGGTGGAGGGGAGGGGCAGTACCTCCATTTCTCACGATGTGGACTTCTGCTGGGATCCCATCCCCTCCCGGCCCTGTGGTTCGAATCTGTACCAGGGCGTGCCCTATGTCCTCAGGCACTGGGATTTCTATCCAGTTCTTGTTGGTGAGGTGGAGTGTAGGAGTTGGGTGGAAGTCATTCTGATACAGCATCTGCAGGATAGAAGTTTCCAGGTACGGCTTCCTGGACCCTCGAGGTTTTGCCTTTTTGCCTCCTTCAGTTTCCCACTACCCAGGCTTCTCATCGGTGGAAGGCAAGCGTGCATGTAGTAAACTTTCAGACTCCTGGCCCATTGCTGCCCTGCTCCTTTGGCTGCTGCACCATGGGCCTGTTTTTATAGCCTCCACCCAGAGCGCCTGTGTTT